GCTCCCACAGAATCGGGTCTGGCAGGGTTGACACATCAAATGGGTGGATTGGGGATTTCAGGGGAAGGAGGGGCTCGGACGCACAAGAAGAAGCATCGACATGCACACCATGATATTGGCGGAGCGTCTGCCACTGCCCCGGCGCAACACCCGTTTGCTGGAATGCCTCAGGGAGGTGTACAGCCAACATCGCAATTCCTGAACACCGGACTTACCGAACCTCCGCGTCCTATCTCGCCAGGTGCTGCTGTAGCTCAGCCCGCCGGTTTTGGGGTCGGAGCCGGAGCGAGTGCTGGCGCTGGCTCGGTCGCAACTCAGGGCAAGATTGACCCCGAACAGATCCCCAGCATCCCTCGGTCTCGCGACCTGCCTGCGCAGTACTATTTCAACCACGTTTATCCGACTATGGAACGGCATCTTCCTCCCCCGGCTGCCATTCCCTTCGTTGCCCACGACCAAGGCAATTCGTCCCCGAAGTACGCTCGTCTCACGCTAAATAATATTCCATCTACAGCCGACTTTCTGTCCTCTACCGGGTTGCCTCTCGGGATGATCCTGCAGCCGCTGGCCCGACTGGATCCGGGTGAGCAGCCGATTCCCGTTTTGGATTTTGGGGACGCTGGGCCTCCACGATGCCGAAGATGCAGGACATACATCAACCCATTCATGACATTCAGGTCCGGAGGGAACAAGTTGGTCTGCAATATGTGCACGTTTCCCAACGACGTCCCTCCAGAGTACTTTGCCCCTCTCGATCCGTCAGGAGCGCGTGTGGACCGCATGCAACGTCCGGAACTGATGATGGGCACAGTCGAGTTCTTGGTGCCCAAGGATTACTGGAACAAGGTGCCTGTTGGTCTACGGTGGTTGTTCCTGATCGATGTCAGTCACGAATCAATCAGCCGAGGATTCCTTAAGGGTATTTGCAAGGGTATCATGGAGGCTCTGTACGGCACAGAAGGGTCTGAAAATCCGGAGGACGAAGCATCGTCGCGACGGATTCCTGAAGGCTCAAAGATTGGTATTGTCACGTTCGACAGAGAAGTACAATTCTACAATCTGAGTGTATGTTCCCGTGGTCACTGTTGATTGCTGCAGATGCTGACCGACGCAGGCACAACTTGAGGGAGCGCAGATGATGGTGATGACGGACCTTGAAGAACCATTTGTGCCGTTGAGCGAGGGGCTCTTCGTGGATCCTTACGAATCAAAGTGCGAACCCTAAATCTGCAGGATTTCGTTCAGGTGACTGACCTACCTTTTATTAGGGACGTAATTACTGGTCTGCTGCAGCAGATTCCGAAGATTTTCGCTCACAGTAAGAAGCCTGAGCCTGCACTGCTTCCAACATTGAATGCGGCTCTCTCCGCTCTACAAGCCACAGGAGGGAAAATCATCTGTGCCGTGGCCACCTTGCCCACTTGGGGCCCTGGGGCTTTGGTGCGGCGGGAAGATCCCAAGGTCCATGGAACAGATGCAGAACGGAAATTGTTTACCACAGAGAATGCAGCATGGAGAGGGACAGCCAGTAAACTGGCGGGAGCTGGTATTGGTGTGGACATGTTCATCGCAGCACCTAATGGGACTTATATGGACGTTGCCACGATCGGTAAGTCTCTTTTGCCTGGTAATGAGGTCGTTCCGCTGACAGCCCTATCAGGACATGTCCCCGAGGTCACCGGCGGCGAGACATTCTTTTACCCCAACTTCCATGCTCCGCGCGACATCCTGAAACTCTCGAAGGAGCTGGCGCACTCGGTCAGCCGTGACACCGGCTTCCAGGCACTGATGAAGGTCCGTTGCTCGAATGGTCTTCAGGTGTCGGCGTATCACGGAAACTTTGTGCAGCATACGTTTGGAGCCGACCTCGAGATTGGAGCCATTGACGCAGACAAGGCAATTGGTGTTCTCTTCAGTTACGATGGCAAACTGGATCCCAAGCTGGATGCTCACTTCCAGGCTGCGCTGTTGTACACTTCCGCCAACGGGCAGCGTCGGGTGCGGTGCATCAACACGGTGGCGGCTGTCAACGAAGGTGGTTTGGAGACGATGAAGTTTGTTGACCAGGACGCAGTTGTCAGCATTATGGCCAAGGAAGGTGGGTATCCAACACACAGACCAAAGGTTCCGAGACAAGCGCATACTAATGTCCTGCAGCGGCGGCCAAAACGCTCGACAAACCACTCAAAGACATCCGGGCCAGCATCACCGAGAAGACGGTGGATATTTTTAGCGGATACCGCAAGATCTTTTCAGGGTCACATCCTCCGGGACAGCTCGTGTTACCAGAGAATCTCAAGGAGTTTTCCATGTACATGCTAAGCATGATCAAATCCAGGGCGTTCAAGGGTGAGCTATACTACGGTCTGCAACTATGAATTCGCCGCTAACAGGCCAAATAGGTGGCCAGGAATCGACCGACCGGCGGATTCATGAAATCCGGATGCTACGATCGATAGGATGCACGGAGCTGTCACTGTACCTGTATCCCCGGATCATCCCCATCCACAACATGCAACCGGAGGATGGGTTCCCGAATGAACAGGGACAATTACAGGTACCACCCGCGCTTCGCGCCAGCTACGCCAAGATCGAGGAAGGCGGAGCGTACCTGGTAGATAACGGACAGATGATTTTACTATGGCTTCATTCACAAGTTTCCCCCAATCTGCTTGAGGATCTGTTTGGAGCCGGGCAAACGTCTCTGCAAGAGCTTAACCCGCAGATGTCGTCGTTACCCGTGCTGGAGACACACCTGAATGCGCAAGTGCGCAATCTGCTACAGTACTTGTCGACTATCCGAGGATCGAAGGCGGTGGCTATCCAGCTGGCACGGCAGGGATTGGACGGGGCCGAGTACGAATTTGCGCGACTGTTGCTGGAGGATCGCAACAACGAGGCGCAGAGCTATGTGGACTGGCTGGTGCACATCCACCGACAAATCAACTTGGAACTGGCGGGACATCGGAAGCGCGAGGATACAGCGGGGGAGGGAACGCTGTCCAGTCTGGCCGGACTACGGGCTCCATATTGGTGATTGGCACTACGTAGTGTGAGTGTGACTGTGACTGACTGTGTGACTCTACCGTAAGCTATGTTGGCTGGGAGGGGCCAGTATTCAATATCCATCTGAGGCAAGGATCTCCCTTTGTCTTTATCCATTTTCTTTTCTGTTCTTGCGAGTATACCAAATTTTTGTTCCTACTTGTATAGCTCAAGGCCAATGTACCATCTTTCACCGTACCACTGAACGAGTGACCTTTGCTTAGACACAAGGGCGTAGACATTTAGAGTTATGAGCCTTGGCCCTGAACGCCTGGAACCAAGCCTAGAGTGATGGAGTCGAATTCTAGAACGGGGGATCTGCGCTGGCTTGGTGAAAGAGGGGCTAGAGGGGTCGGAGGGGCAGAGAACAAGGACCCTTTTCGAGTCTTCCACTCTTCAGTTTTCAGGAACTGGAGCCCTGGATCCTTCCTCTACTCTCTGAGACGGAGATAATTGGCGGTTGTGACTACAACTGGGGCAGTGGAGTTGGCATCGCACGTCAGTGGCTGGAAGACGGACAATCCTGACCAAAGCTCTGGCCATTTTGTAAGCATAAGAGTTTTTCTTTCAGAATACTCTGTGATTTGGTTCCGAAATGTCAGCAAAATGGGAAATAGAATGAGAAAGAAGGATGGTCTTCCGCGCCAAGACTAAGAGTTTACTGGTAGAGTTCAAAATCAGCGTTGACAAAGGACCGAAAGAGTCTGCCTGAGGTGCCAAGGTTGAAGATTTGCCTGCATCGGAACCAAACAGTGGACCGAGAGTAATATGCACGCACTTTGTCTGGCTGTTAGGCATGTTGCCACGCTTTCACTCATAGGAAAAGTATGTCTACATAAGGTTTTTCAAAACGCCACGCAACCACAAATCGTTGCCAAAGGATCAAATAGACTTCAGCAAACCATGGGAATACCCTCAAAGACCAGAGATTTTTTGCGTTCCCCAAAAAGGGAACTAAGATGCCGAACCATAGATCACAACGTCTGGTACTTTTTCTTTTTTTTACTTCCTCTTCTCGGGGTTCAACACAGTTTGGGAATGGGGTCAGCGGAGCTAGATATGGCAATCCATGTGCCACTGCGTTATTATGCGGGTAGACAGGAAAACAGGCAGAGCTACTTTGTATTATTATTAATGCGTGATAGTAAAATCAACTGCATAATCAAGGTCGACTGAGAGATTTCCAGCTCATCGTACGGTGTCGTACATTGAATGAGGTCAAAATGAAGTGATCTTTGCGGTATTAAACTTGCATATTCTCGCTTAGTTGTGCAGAAAATGACTGTCGCTGTGGATGGCTGATTGGCTGGATGCAACAGATCGGCAGGGACCCCAAAAGTCTGCCCTGAATTTATGATAATAGTATTCGGACATTGAACCAAGTCTAACGAGGTCAGGTACTTGCAAAACTTGAGCCAATTATCCCCAGAATTCTTTGGCGCTGGGGCTACGTACTGGCCATGGATGCAGTGGGGTTCTTTCATCCTCTTCTTCTTTCAGGCTTCGAGAACGCGAACGTCCGATGGATGGATCCAAGAATGGTTGATCCCTGGTCCAGGTGCCTAGAGCCACGTTGGATCGAATTTCTGGTTCACCTCTCGTGTGCTCGTGGTACCTACCGATTCCATAGTTGGGGTTTGCCATCTGGCCTCCGGCCCTGACTAACCCCAAAACGGGCAATTTGACTTGCCTCCGGTATCCCATCTGAAGCTATATAAACCCCCTGTCGCGACAGGTAGTCTCGCTTCCTTCATCATCAATCAACACTCTCTTGATCATCAAGTCAACTGTCTTTCTCTTTGTCCTAGTGACATTACTTTCTTTTCAGTCAATTCGACTGCTTCATTCTCTTGTCAATCTTTTTTGACTACCACTATCACTTGTCTGTGGAACAGACCAATTCTGTCTTCTTTCAATAGAACAATCTCTTCAGTCTCTTTACATCCTCAGTCAAAATGATGTTCACCAAGGCCTTCATCGCTGCTGCCTTTGCTACCCTCTCCACTGCCCTGCCCCATGTCATCCAGCGCAGCGGCAACTCCTCTGCCTCTGGAGGCGGCGTCAAGATCGTCAACAACCTGAGCCAAACCGTCTACGCGTGGTCGGTCGCTGATAGCGTCAGCGACATGCATACCCTCTCTGCGGGCGGCGGCTCCTACTCCGAGCAATGGCGCACCAACAGCAACGGCGGCGGCGTCTCCATCAAGCTGTCCACCAAGCCCGACCAGTCCGATGTCCTCCAGTTCGAGTACACCCAGTCCGGCGGCGACACGATCTTCTGGGACATGTCCTGCATCGATATGGGCACCGGCTCTGAGTTCACCAAGTACGGCTTCACTGTTGAGCCTTCCCAGACCAGCGGCGACTGCCCCTCCGTCAACTGCAAGGCCGGCGACTCTGCTTGCGCCGAGGCCTACCTGCAGCCCAAGGACGACCATGCCACCCACGGCTGCCCTATCGACACCTCTTTCGTCCTGAACATTGGAAACTAGATGAAATGACCACAAAAGACGTCGGCGAGCCGACCGATCAACAATACATTATACCCGGCCACTGGTCACTTTCTCACTCTTGCTTGATGCAATTGAGGCTCTGAACATGTGGAGCTTTGTTCTTTTTCTTTTCTATCAAAACACTGGGACACGACATTCTCTCACTCCTGGTTGAGTTCATTCTCTCGTTGACATATAGAGTGCTAGCTGCTCTCTCCCTGTCGAACAGGTCGAGTGACGCGCTACGATTCATGTTTATGCTATACGATATATGAAAAAGTCATATATGGATTTGATGGACGGGAAACATATACATAGACTATAGACTTGTGAATATTGATGATTATAAACAAACCTCGCTTCCTCTGGTAAAGTTCTAAACTCGCTTCATGGTAAAGTTCTAAACTTGCTTCCTGGTAAAGTTCTCAATTCTTCTAGGGTATCTGCGCTGGTCTCATCACAACGACTATGGTCACGGCCACCTGAAAGTTGGCATCCCACCAGGCTTCCAGCCAAGATCCAAACACGCAAGCAAGACAGGGCAGTGGGCCAGACCATGTCATAGCATGGATGTTGTACTGCAGCCTGCAAGCAATACTGGAGTAGGGTACGTACACCAGCGCCACAGTGGGACAGCCCCCAGCGCTCCAATCCCATTGGCTCTGCTGGAATATGGACCAGTGGGGAGTGCGCAAAAATGTTCTCTATGTGGATCAGTTCTATCCAATGATCAGCGTCAGTCAAAGTCAGTGCTTAAATAAGCATATTGCCGGCTAACCTTATGCAGACATCTGATCTGATTGGTTGATATGGGGTATTGTTGCCTTGATGCCTTATATTTTTCCTGCTCAGTCGAGGGAATCAGGTTGATCCTCCGTATCCTGGGCATGTTAATAAGCAGACGTACAACGCGGCACAGTCTGACTGGTGCAGCGAGGTCCACACCGTTCCTTGAAATCCCCGTCCTGGTCGCGACTTTTTCTGTGGTCTAGACTTCGCTGCGGACAGAGGATACTCTTTTAGGTATCGTTCTACGCTTCTGAATGTAGAAGTCGTCCCGGGAGTTTCTTTTGTTGGCCATGTTTCTCATTGGTGAGTCGCTACTACCAATAACGACCTGAGATAAGGTACTCCGTACAAGAGCAAGGATAGATACAAGCCCAGATGATGTCAGTCTACCGCAGGCGACGCCAAAATCCCTCACGCAACACCTTGAGCATCGCATACGCCACCAATCGGTAAACGATCGTGCAGACGCCAAGCGCCATCACGTTCATCGGCGCGTTCTTGTCTAGATTGTACAGCTGCAGCACTTGCTGCCCAGTCTGGATCGGGCAGGTCCCGTTCGCCAGGAGCTGCGAAGCGGTGCATGTGAAATGCTGGTCGCGCATCGCGTACGGCGCCAGGTTGGCGATCGAGTACTTGATCGGTGACAGGTGGTTGATCGCCTGCAGGACGTCGTTGACGTTCAGGCTCATCACACCACCCAGGATGGTGGAAATAGACAGCAGAATCGACGTGACGTTGACGGCGAATCCGACGTGCGAGAAGAGAGTGCAGAACATGATTCCGACCGACTCGCCGCAGCTGATGATGCAGAAGCAGTTGAATGCGCTGATGAGGAACATCTTGGGGCTGCGTTCTAGGTTATCCGCGTAGGCCGCGAGCACCCCGAAGATGACCGAGGAGATCGCCTCAAAGGGTACTTCTAGCGTTGTGTACTGTAGAATGAAAGTCTCGGCAGAGTAGCAGTCGTCCGCTTCTTCCCGGTAGAAGACATCCCGTTCGTTCGGGTAGATGGCGATATTTTGCAGCATCCCTAGCTCATTAGCATCATGAACCTAACGCGTAGGACTCGAACGGACGAAACACTCACCGACAAAATACAGCGCGGCAAACTCCTGCATAAACCCCATCCGCGATTGCACGGCAGCATAGTCATTCTTCAAAGGGGCAAAGAACAGAGCCATGATGATCGCAATCCCTACCACCTGCATTGACCGGGCCATCACCAAAGGCGGCTGGCGCCAGAAATTGATCGCGGCACGGTGCAGCACCAATGGGTACGTGATCCGAAAGGGAAGCATCCGTCTCTTCAAGCTTCCAAGCTCCGCCGGAGTCGCAATCTGCGACGGACGGCGGCCCTCGTCCTGTCGTTGACCATCCCAGCTAGTGATCAACTTTTGTACGCGCTCGCGGGTCAGCGCTTCTCTATCTTCCTGCTGTAGGTCGACCGTGATCAGGTCCAGAACAAAGTCAGCAGGATTCGTGGTCTTGGGACACTCGTATCCCAAGGACCGAAAGTACGGGAGCATCTTCTCGCCCTCATCCGCATACACGGGGTATCCTCCTCGGGCCAGTAACAAGACACTCGAGAAGTGCTGGAACAGGTCCGACCGTGACTGGTGGATGGTCATGATCAGGGTGCGGCCCTCGGCTGCCAGCGCTTCGAGGACTTCAATAATCGACGTGGCTGTAAACGCATCTAGCCCGCTAGTAGGTTCATCCAGTAGAGCGATCTTCGGGTCTGTTAGAATCTGAATGGCGATGGTGACTCGTCTCTTTTCTCCGCCGCTGATGCCCTTGATGAACTCGCTACCTATTAGATTGTCCGCGCATTCTTTCAATCCCATCTTGAGGAGAATCTCCTCCGCTCGCTGGTTCTTCTCCTCGCGCGACATCCACTGGGGTAGCCTCAGGCCAGCTGCGAAACGGAGACTCTCGCGCACCGTCAGCGACGGTATCAACGCGTCGTCATCCTGTGTGACAAACGATGTTACCGACCGGATCACGCTCTCCGAAGGCACAGCACCGTTGTAGAGCATGTTTCCCTGCAGTCGATATTGCGTCCCCAAAAAACCACCTAACCTTCGTGCAATAGAGTTGAGCAGCGAGGTCTTCCCACTACCGGACGGGCCCATGATGACGTTCAATTTCCCCGGCTGGAATTCAGCTGTGATGGGTTTGAGGATGGGTAGCGTCCGCGATTCCCGGCGAAAGACCTGGCGTTTCTGGATCTCCAAAGCATACTTGTCCAGCGAAATAGTGACAGGACGAGCTTCCTCGGCGCGCCGTTCGGCAAACTTCTCTTTACCGGCAGATAAATCTACATCGGTCTTCCGCGCTTGCGCAATGTCAACGGCGAAACGATTGTACTGGAGCAGCAAGCCAGCGAGCAGATAGTGACCAATCACAAAGGCCAAGAGGATCACAATAGGCCGCCAGATCCAGTTTGACGGGAACCCCAGGTTCTCCATAATGTACCGGCCCGTGTATTGCGTACACGCGGGATCCGATGGGTCTGTCGAATATGGACAACCGTAGAACTGACCTTCTGGGGGCCCGTTAGGACCGATGAATTCGTTGGCGCACAGGGCACCGAAGATGTAGAATGTATATGCCACCCATTTTAGCCACCGCACGTACACAGGGATCTGGTTCGACTGTACAAAGTACCCGCACGCGAAAGACTGTAGTGTGAATGAAAGGTTGCCCACAAGACTCGCACCGGGGAAGGTGCGAGCGACGCCAATGGAGACGGCCGCAAAAGTGACAGCAATGTAGTGAGTGAGGATGGTCAGAAGCAAGAAGATGAAGAACTGGCCCACGCTGAGACGGTATCCGACCATGAAGTAGTATATAATTGCGAAGATAACAGGCACAGGCAGGTCTTCTAGAGGAAGGCGCGCTGCACGTCTGCTCAGCAAGAAGGCCGGGACACCCACGACGCCTTCGTTCCTTTCGCGATCGAATAGACGTATGTCGATTGTCAGACGATACGTCTCATAAAGAAGGGTCAGATATCCGTTGAGGCTGCTTGCGGTATACAGACTGCCTTGTCGCGATCGAATACCAGCTTGACTTTCATCAAGCTGTAAAAAGATCCAGCCATTGATGACAGCCATCCCCACGGCCTCCAGAAGGCTCCCCGCCATGCCGAGCGGGTCTCGGATGGTTGTCGTGAAGGTCCGAGAGGTCAGAACACGGAATTGTTGACGGAAGGAAGCTGCCTTGTTTATGGGTGTAATTGCACCGGATGGCATTGACGTCTTCCTTTCATGCCGAGGCTGTTCGATCCGTTTTCGCTCAGAGCTTCGAGACTTCCACGCAGCCTTGAGAAGCTCCACTCGGGCCATCGATGCGGCCTCGAGCGACTCCGTCCGGTTATCGATGGCCGCAAGGTCGATCAAGAATTCGGCTGGATTCACAAACGGCGGCAGAATATGACCGCACGCCTCGAAATGGGACAGAGAGTTTTGAAGCGGTCCACTGTAGAGCACCGACCCCCGTGCCAAAAGAATCACATTGTCAAAGAGACTCCAGATCTCAGAGCGGGGAGCATGAATCGAAACGATGACCGTTCGACCGTCCTCCGCGAGTCTTTTCAGCGTCCGGATGATCTGGAATGCGCTCGTTGCATCCAATCCTGACGTCACCTCGTCACAGACCAACACCTATCCATAGATTAGAATTTTTGTACTTTCTGTCTCCTTTTTTGGCTCAGTGATCTGAAGGATACCCACCGACGGGTTCGCCAGCATCTGCACGCCGATGCTCGTCCGCCTTTTCTCCCCTCCACTGCAACCCTTGTGTGTGTTTGTCCCAATCCGCGTGTCGGCACACTCCTTCAGCCCCAATTCCAATATCACCTGCTCTACAACCCGGTGGCGCTCCTCCTGCGTCGCTGGCGGCGGTAATCGCAGATCCGCCGCATAACGCAGAGTCTCACGAACCGTCAGTGTGGGAATTAGCACATCCTCCTGCATGACATATGCGCTGCGAATCCCCTCAATGCCCGCAACTCCGTTGAAGGTGGTCGCCCCGGAGACTTTAGCCTTGGTCAAGCTCATCCGACCAGCCATAATGTTGAGCAGCGATGTCTTTCCAGACCCGCTGCTACCGATAATCGCCGTAAGACTCCCACTAGGCATGAATGCGTCGACGCTGTCGAGGACAGTTTTATGTGTCTGGGTGTCCACCTTCTTTCCGCAGAGCCGATG